AAAAAAAAAAAAAAAAACTTGAAATGAAACAGGACGAAATAAGAAATAATATGAATTAAAAATAAAATGAAAGAAAAACAAAGGTTTGTTCTGCACCAATGAAACTAACAGAAATGGGAGGGATGTAATGGATTGCTTAAAGACAGACTGCCCTTGTAGAATGGAGCTAAAGAGCACATATAGAGAAGAAAAGGTGTAGCTTGTTCAATAAAAGGGATGCAAGTACAAATCAGTATTATCTAGGTGATTGGTGAGTATGAAAATTAGAATCCATAGGTTTCTATTGTACGTTATGCTACATTAATGGCAATTATAAGAAAATGAGGGATTAGCTTGAGGGATAATTATGCAACCCTCTGAAGATAAGCGATCTGGGGGGGGGGGATTCTATTAGGGGACATGAATTTTATAGCTGAATTGTTTTGTAAAAACTGATTTTAAACAATTAATAAAAATTGGGCAAGTTCCTTACTCAGACGTAAACAGATTATGGGACATAGTCCTGAAAGTCTTATCTTGGATCAGTCCTATTTGATTACCAGCAGATAATGCAATGGAATGATGTCAATGGTGTTATTTGATTTAAAAAAATAAATGACGGGGAAAGCTGGAAATAATTAAATGTGAAGGTTTTCTTTCTATTATCTCTCTCTCTCTCTTTTTTTTTTTCTTTCTACCCTTAAACCTACTCCAGTTCGTCTATGGCTCTGCTCCAGTCATGAATTATAAAACCCCAGGCCTTTCATTCTTCCAAATGAGTCCCATGGAAAGACTTCAGTATGAAGGGATTCTATCTTTGCTTCTTCATTTCAAGTGGACGTGGATTGGGGTGGTCATAATGGGTAATGATAATGGAGAAAGATTTCTAGGTATCATCAAACCATTATATTCTAAGCAAGGCATTTGCTTTGCATTGACAAAGAGAATTAATTATACAGAGTCAGTTAATGAAGTGTCTTCTTTATTTGAACAAATTGCAAAAATACATGATCAAATCATGGAAAGCAAAAGCAATGTGATGATTTTCTATGGAGAGTCCAATGCCTTGGTTTTCCTGAGATGGTTACCATATCTGTCACTAAAAGAACATGATACAGAGACAGCAAAAGGGAAAGTATGGATATTGCCATCTCAAGCAGAACTTGTATCAAATGTCTATCAAAAGGATTGGGATACACAAATAATCCATGGAGCTCTATCCTTCACAATTCACACCAGCAACCCACCAGGATTTAAACCTTTTCTTGAAAGCAGAACTCCTCTTAACCCAAAAGCAGATGG